TTAATAAAGTATATCTATCTATCTATAGTTTATACTGTTTTATCATCACACACAGGCACTGAAGCGAACATTACACCCTTTACATGCTCTCAGTCTTTAGATATTCAGGCTCAAGTGTGAATATTGTGTTATGAACATGTCAGTTCTTTAAATTGCCATTATATGATCTTGCCACAATGTGAGATTGAGAGATAATACTTTCTACCAATGTTGTTGTCTCACTACGTTCAAAACACGGTCATTCTGTTTAAAATAATATATATTCAGTATACAGCAGATTACACGTTTTGTAATTGTGACTTGTGATACTTTTGGTTCAGCCATCTTTCATCATGTTAACCCACCCAGTGTTTTATTGTTGTGGTGATGGGAATGAAGAGAACAAGTCTGCGCTGAACTGACCAATGAGGATGAGAGGAGCAGTAGATTGACATGACGTCTGACCAATAGGATCGCCGGAGGAAATGTGTTTATACCAGCCCCCTTTCCCGTACAAGGCGACTGTTTTGGTGAGTTAAGGAAAGTTCATTGAAATCATTTATGGCTTTTAAAGCGTCGAATTTGAGATGTGATTACACAATTTGAATGATTTCCCCCTGAACTTGGCTCAGGAGTAATAACGTGAAACTGTCAACGTTTATTTTCAGCCGTAAATGCAGTTTCGCTGTTCTCCGTAAAGCTTCATTGTTGACGTTAGTTGTTTTGTTGCCTTTACGCAATAGGACTGCTCGTCCATTTTAATGGGTTTAAACATATTCTGACACCGCGAATCTCATTAATATCGTTAACTTGTTCGTTAAAATACAGACGGCGGCGGGTTATTTTTCGTTTCGTCGACGTAACTTCAGTATTTCAACGGCACTTTTGTTTCGTCAACAGATAAAACGCTGCTTCGTCTGAACTTTACCGAGGCTTGGACACACAGACACCTGTAGCATGTAACAGCAGCCGCCAGTGGCACAATAGTCAGTGTGTACTGTGTGCTTAATGTCGTGCTTTTGACTCCTTTTAAACTACTTACTGGAAATATTATCGCTGCCCTTCTCAGTATTGAATGAATGGGCTTTTTGTGCGCATGCGTGCAGGATCTCAAAAGTTTATAAACAAGGGGAGGGAGTCACATGACGAGAATATTGCGAAATAGATAAGACAAACACACTCTTATCATGTTTACAGGTTCAAAACGGAACATTTCAGCATATTATATCCAATTCGATTCATAAACCTCCATTAAATACTTAAGTGGTAAATATGATGGAGCATGAATGTGTCTAAACATAGGTGTGTTATTAGGTAATGGCAGCCCAGTGTTACCCCATGCCACCTCAACCATTTATAGCCTATACATTACAGCTCAGTGAGGATTAAGTTTCTGTGTGTGTGTGTGTGTGTGTGTACGCTTGACCCGTGGGATCCCGTAATATGGCTAATGCTGATACTGATGCCAGTAATTACCTGTACTGTAGGTTATAGTTACTACATCTATTTCTTATATCCTTTAGTTTGAATATTTACATTAAAGAAAAACTATTATGCTGGTAAAGACATACTTGCTGGCTGTTAGATTAGACATTTATTCAGCTATCTGCATGTTTCAGTGACTGTGGACACCATGGTTTGGGAGGTGGTGACCCCGGCCGTGCTGTCCAGCGACCCCAAACATCAGAATGTGCGGGACTGTGAGACTCAGGGTGAACACACAGGTAACCACAGAGCAGTGGAGCTCACAGTTCACCTGCGGCTGCACTGTGTAATTACTGACACGAAACTCTTAAAGTGATTTAGTGTTGCACCTGTTGGTTGACTCACCAGAGACAGATGGTGAAAATAAAAGCAGCAGAAGATGAGATATGCAGTCTTTGGATTCTAACTAGGGCTCTAGATTTGTTTTAAATCGGACCCTGGATTCATCTACAGCATCTCCATTAAAAATGTGTCATTCTTTTTAAACTTTGGAAAGCTACTGCAGAGCTACAACGACATTACACAGCGGAGTGAACTGAGCTTAATGTGTGTAAAATCAGTGTCCAAGGAACTAGCAACCAACCGCCAGACAAATCTGTGAAACTGGGAAAGCTGTTTGTAAGCCTTATGATGATGATATACTAATGATTATGGTGGCAACTTCTAATTATTTTCATTGTCGATTAATCTGCTGATTAGTTTCTAGATTAATCAATTAATCATTTGGTCTATAAAGAAAGGAGAAGTTATAAAATAGTGAAAAATGTCCATCCAAGTTTCCCAAAGTCCAGTCCAAAGATATTCAGTTTAATATGATAGAAAACAGTCAGGAACTCTTTTTTTCTGCTGGTAGTAATAGTTATTTTTCCGTCGATGGACTATTCAGTTAGTTGACGCATCGTTGCAGCTCTGTTAATCATAGGTGATGAATAAATAGAGTGAAAACATTAATATATTGATAAGAATGCCAATGGACTAAGAATTGATTGGGAATAGATTCATGGAGTTTTACTAACTTGTTTATATGTAAGTTTTTCTTATTCTATTCATTAATGTGTTTTACTAAAACTGTTCATACTTTAACACTTTGTAGTTCTACTCAGTAAATCACTCTGTAAATGTAACATGGCGAGTTGTTCTACAGGCTGCGTTAGACAATGAACAAATGTAAAGTCGCTGGGAAATGAAACTTTGACCTCCTGTTTGTGTGGTCTTACCTTCAGGAGTGATGATGGATGCAGACGGAGACCAATCACGTGACCTGCTGTGCTGTGAGGAACGCCTCCCCTCCTCGCCCGGCTTCCCCACCAGTGACAGTTACATGGAATACGGTACAGCGGATGGATGAGTAACACGTGTGGGCTTCACGTTTTTCAATTCAGAGTCAGACGTTTTCAGCTAGCATCTGTCTTCTCCTCCTAGACGACCTCCCAGACCTGCAGGAGGTTCAAGAGGAGGCGGAGCCAACAGCGCCATCTGTCTACCAAGTGGACGTGTGCGTGTCGCACCAGGAGCGACACGCACACGCGCAGCCTCCCGACACACACTGGCTGACGCAGCTGGCTCACATCGCCACGGGACCCCAGAGCCCACTGCTGCAGGAGTCTCCTCACAGCGGGTAGCTGCGTAACCATGTTACTGATCGAAATAAACCAAATGACTAGCGAGCAGGGCCGTAGCTAGGATTTCCAGAGTCTACAAAGGCATCACCAGCCACAATAGATTCATTGAACTGTTCAAATATATGTTTTGTACAATTTATCTCTACAGAATTCTGTTTGACAATGCCCCTCAAAGACAGGAATATAAAGCTAGTGGAGGACTAAAACCTTTACTGTAACTTACGTTTCTTGCCAAAAATTGTCAAATTTAAGAATGTTGACTCTTAAAAAACATCAGAATCAGGCTCAAAATGTGTCATTTGTATTGTTATTTGTTATTGTTGAATGTAAACTATTTAACAGAGACACTACTAACTCCATGGCAGCTGTTTGTTTTGCTTTTAATCATACCAAAATGAGAATAAATATTCACAAAATATGCAGCGCTGAATTACAGTGTCTGACACAGCAACAACATGAACTTTAAGGAGTTTTATAAGCTTCAGTATTACAGGAACACCATTTCTTCTGAATGTGCCATCCCGCCCTACAGAGGACTTCCTGTCTTTTATTAGCTGCTACAACTCTGTCTTGCTGGCAATGGGTGCAACTAATGAGCCTCTGTCATTTACAGTTCCTCTCCGGTCTGCCTCTCCAGCACCAGCTGTAATCTACATTCCTACGCTCGGCCTCCTCCCCCTCTCCCCAGCGGCACCTCGTCGCCCCCCAGAGGTCACGGCAGGGAGCGTCGGCGCAGCAGGGTAGAGCTCACGTTGACCTACTTCGTCAGCACTCACCGTCATTAAATACTGTCAACAAATACAAAAAAAAAAAAGACATATGATCTTTTACGTGTTAAAACTGATTGGCCTCCGACCCTGTGCATTAGAAAAGCTGTGTGTCTGCAGTTTGTTTGGCTCTGTTTATTTCCCAGTCGGGCCTGACGATGCTGTTGCTTTATGTTTCCACAGAAGAGCAGTGAATGTGGGTCTGCAGTGTCAACCAGATCCTCTCTGTCTGATGACGAAGACATGGGCTGGAGCTTCTCCTGGCCCCCCACGGCCTGGCACTGCTTTCTCAAAGGTACACACACACACACACACACACACGTTACAGGCATACACAGGGCGACTAGATGATGAGATTTTATTCTAAGCTGTTATCTCAGAGCAGCTATTCTGTCACCAGGCACTCATCTGCGTTTCCACACCGGCTCTAATGTGGAGTGGCAGGACGTGGAGGACCTGGACTCTGCTGAGGAAGACTCTGGTGATGAGGAGCAATCCAGATCTCTGAAGGTACATTATGCAAGAAGCTTGTGGCTGCAGTTAGGCTGTCAGGTCTCTGAGTTCACAGTGTACTTTTTGATTGAAGTCTCTGTCTGTAGCGCTATGTGGTCTTGTGGTCAGTTTAGCTCAGTGTTAATGTATTTTTAACAATAGCAGCAGCAGCAATCTGAGTAAATATACCACAAGGAGTTTTTAAATAGTTAGTTAGTCTCAAATTAATACTGATGCCTCAATATGACCTACATAAACAAAAAAGGCCATCACAGAGAAGTTGGCTATTTGTATTTAGTTATTCTTAATGCAGGCCACTGGGTTGGACTCCTCGAAATCAGATTAAATGAGTCGGTGGAAACACTACCACTGATCTCCACAGGGGTCGCCAGAATCAACACAAAATGTAGGGGCTTTAAGTAAATGAAAAACTTAGAAGGTGGGTAGTTCTGCTCTCAGTCTATGTATGCAACAATAAGCAACGTCCCACCAAAAGAACAAACGCTGCATGCTCTTCTGCAGAGTTATGGCTCCGAGGGTCTGCAGCTGGTGGAGCATTCAGAGATCGTGTTGTCTGGTCAGGCTGTCCTACAGCTGACCTTTGACCCCGGGGCATTCGGACATGCCCCCCTGACCGCCCGGTGCCAACTTCATCACCCCTTCTACGTCAAAAACAGAGGTAGGAGCGATGGTGAGAAAACACTAGAACTGTTCAAAACTCTGAGAATATCCACTTCCTTACACTCTGACTCACTTCCTGTTAGGCTGGTCGTCATTTTACCCGAGCTTGACCGTGGTGCGTCATGGGATACCGTGCTATGAAATGGAGGTGGGAGGTGTGTGCCTTCCTCCAGGACACAGAGATGCCAAACACACCGACGACTCACTGGTGTTTGACACATTCAGGAGGTAAAATGTATCTTACGGTATAACGCTCCAGTAAACATACAATACATCAGATAACCTAAAGCAACAGGTTAGGTATTGTGTGTGTAACCTCTGTTTCTATATGTGTGTGTCTTCCTCAGTTACGATTTCACTCCTCTGGATTCCTCTGCGGTTTACGTGTTGAGCAGTATGGCCAGACGGCGGCGAGCCTCCCAGTCCAGCGGGGGAGCTGCTTCTCCAGACAGAGACACACTGCAAGGTACTGTGCTTCAAATCTCCCACATGTAGAGACATTATCCACTGTGTGAGTAATAAGAAACATTAAGAACATTTCAGTTTGTAATATCCAGAAACGCACCGTACAAAAACACACGAGCAAGGGTCGAGGATGCGTTTCATAAAAGAACAATTGTGGATGTGTTTAAAACCTGCAGACGCCCACAGTCCTGGTCACTCCCACTCTCCTCGTCAAAAGCCAACCAAAAGCCAGAATGCCAGCACAGCAGGAAGTAGTAATGCCACGCCCACCAAGTGCAAGCGGCCAATGAACGCCTTCATGCTGTTTGCCAAGAAGTTCAGGGTGGAGTACACACAGATGTACCCGGGCAAGGACAACAGGTGGGTGTGATTACATGTGTGATGTGAAGCTGTGGTGTGTGTATCAGTGTTTATTGTAAGGTTGTGTGTGTGTGTGTGTGTGTTTTAGAGCGATCAGCGTCCTCCTTGGTGAGCGGTGGAAGAAAATGCGAACTGAGGAGCGGCGGGTGTTCACCGTACAGGCCAAAGCCCTCGCAGACGAACAGAAAAGACTCAACCCAGACTGCTGGAAACGCAAACGAACCAACTCTGTAAGGAGACACACACACACACACACCACTACACAGTGCCTCGTTCTGCTGTCTAATTCTTCTCTGTGTCCAACAAGGGTTGTCAGGGAAATTAAGGTTGCAGACATGAAGAAGAAGGATCTGCATGGCCTGTAGGAGTACTCACACCACACACAACACACACACACACCACACACACCCACACACACCACACACCACAGTGGTTCAGCAGGTGAAGTAAAGAGCGATGGTGTATATTAATACAATCTCCATATTATATTTTAACAACAGACTTGCCCTGGTAATCCCAAAGTGAGGTTTGAGTCTGTCATTTGAGTCTCAGTAAAAAAAAAAAAGAGCAACAGCCCTCTACTTCCTTATGGAAATGTTTAAGCAGCGCTTTTAAAAAGTGCTAAAATGTTAACATTTTAAAGCGATATAAATTATTATGTGTTGTAGTAATTTATAACAAACGTTGTACATATACCCCACCCCCCACCCCCCACATTTGAAGGCTCCAAAGCACCCTCATCAGCCGTCTTCCTTACGGAGAGACTTTTTTTCCAAACTGAAATTAAGAAGCAGATCAACTTGTTTTTCGTATATGACTGGAGTTTTCTCCCAACGAGTGATTTTACAGCAATGTGGTGAAAATAAAAGAAAAAAAAAAAAAAAAGAGATTCTGATTAAACTTTCAGTTTCTCACCCATATGCTTGAAACGGGTGGGAAAGGTTTGGTGCCTGTAGATTTTAGGTAAAGTAAGAGAATGTAGCCTATTTTCCCAAAATTAAATATTATATATTATAGATAAAGATATAACAAAGTATTTTCTTGCTGTATTACTTGCATTTTTGCACTCAGTGTATTGCACAAGACCACATATATTTTAACTTTGCTTTCAATGTAAGTTAATCATGTAATATTTAGTTATTTAACAAATGTTTGCCATAAATTGTTAAATAGTGGACTTAAGAGAGAACCAGGCCTGTATTAGAGAAAGAAATGTTGTTTCCATAACGTTCTTGAAGAAAGGTACCAATAGCTGTGGTTTTATTAGGCTGAGTTTCCCTGGACAGCCACTGTAGTACAGATCGAGCGGCGCGTGTTGCTCCCCTGGCCTTTAATTGGTTTTATTTTATTTGAGAATTTTTACCGTAATTCATACATAATAACACAGGCATAATGGAGACCACATGGGTATGCTAGAGAAAGTTGCCACTATAGCACAGGCCTGTTTGATGACAAGAGGACTTGATTTGGGGTTTGCCAGACATCAATCCTACACTGCTGAAGTGTACTTGAGCAAGACACTGGATCTCCAGCAGCTGCAAGGGGAGCAACAGAAAATATCCTCTAAAGTGGCAGGAATCCATAATAACATGTTGTTCCTTTTGACTCCTAACATTTATCTGTTCCATAATTAATGATTTTCTTAGATGTGTTTTGAGTATGCTTTCTCTCGTGTATAATCAAAGACACCATTAATACAGGGGACCAGTTGACGAGGGGTTCATGTTTACTCCACAAAGATTCAAATGGAAAAGCACACAAAGTGCTTGTTTGGGGCCCCGCCCCTTAGGTTTCTCTCACTGAGTTTTTGGTGGCTTTACTTTTTGTCATAAGAAAAAGATACAATGGATGGGATTGGGGGGGGCAGATGATATGATAATGATCAGGTTTTGTAAACAGTAGAAATTTGTGCCATAAACTACTCCATTTGTCAGCAATCAGAAAAAATCTGTTCATCAGGATTGGGTTTTTTGGTGACTTCAAAAATGTAACACTGGCACTCTGTGAATGTGTTTACATGCACCCAGGAATCCGGTCCTCTGATAGGAGCACCTGGGCTCAGGGTGGAGGTCTGGAGACCATTTATGCTTATTGATCCTCATGTAGTTTAGCTGCTCCTGAAAGCCTGTCCAAAAGAGCCTGCCGAATCCACTGACTGCACAGTGAAATCCCAATGATTAAGTCCTGTGAGGGGGAAATTGCTATCAACTGATTTAAGCTTAAAGAGAAGCCTAAAGCATCATGTCTATGGTTCTAGCTACCTAAATATATTTCTCCATATCCTTTTTGTACTTTGAACCAGAGGACTGTCTAAGCAAAACACACTTTTAGCCTAACGATCTGCTTGATTATAAAATATCATGGCTGGAAAAGACCCATATATCATATATAATATATACTATATATTATAATATATATATATATATATATATATATATATTATATATATATATATATATATATAAAAAACCCAGCTGCTGATGAGTGCATGTAAACACACCCACTGCAAACATGATGATGTGTGAGGCTTTGATTGGTTATTGGATGGAAGTGCTTCATATAGTTATATATTATATGCAGAGTGTGGAGGCTTGAGAAAGTGACATGTTTTACAGAAATAGTCAAAAATAAAATGAAATACTCCCAGGGTGGACACTCATATTATCACTGCATAACGAGGTTTATTCTTAATGCACTATATACACTTTATCTTATGTGACTGCTACAGTATAATGTGTAATGGCAAATATTAATATGATTATACAGAAATATATATTTTTGGTTTTGACTTAATCTGTGTTATCCTCTCATGGTTGTGCATTGATTATTTAACTTTAGTTTGTCTTTACTATCATGTACAGGTCGATCAGGGGAGACAATGCAATACAATGTATTACGGTATAAATAAAAGCATGATAAATCTATAATCCCATTCGTCCTGTGTTGTTATGTGTCCAAGAGTGTGTGGAAATGAATTAAGGGATAAGTTTGGGTCTAAACAAGAACATTTTATTTTTTCCCTCCCAGAAAAAGAAACAAGTTGAAATCATAAACAGGGTTTGTTCAACCTGTTGCTATATACATACTGCACCAGTGTATGGCTGGAGATAAAGGTATAGACATTAAGCTGCTACTGTAATCATAAAGATAAAAAGAGATAACATTCCATTAAAACTATAAACATGATCAATATTTCCAGGCTAAAATTATCAAATAGAATCCACACAGTTAAATATGTGTAAATGACTAGAAAATCACTTTTTATAGTAAAATAGAAAATATATAGAGGTACAGTATAAACATACAGCAATTTGGCCTTTCAATGTATTCAGGGATATTTACACACAAAGAGTTCAGGCATGTTGCGCTTCGGTCTGCTTTGAATCGCTGCCTGATTGAGCAGCAGCAGCTGATCTGTGCCATTGTGCTTCCCCAGACGAGCTAACGGCAGAGTGCACGCGGATAGAAGCTGCAACATCGTTTGAAAGATCGCGTCCGACGCAGGGGAAACATTTGGACTCCCTCGAAATGAAAACAGTCGTAGCAAGTGGCACAGGGACGCAGAGGAAGTGCAGGGTCGAACATCAGCAAGTTCAGCTGTTTGTCTCTAAACTAAATGTTTGCAACAATGTGACAGCTGGCTCAGCTGAAAGATGGACTGCCTTACTTATAGCTGATTATATGGATGGATTGTTCTGTTGCAGCAGTGGTTGGAGAGGTTTAGATATTTTCTGTAGCTGTTGATCATTTGAATCCATTGTTAACTGACATAAAATCGAACTATTTACGGCCACAAGTCAACCTTACAGGGGCTGTCAGAATATCACTTTAAATCTCATGTTTTACAGATTGTCTGAGCCTGATGACGTTCCCCCACTCTCCTCTCTGACCTTTAAGTTAACGAGCATAACGAGACTTTAAGAAAATAGAAGGAAAAAAAAATCACAGGTCATTATTTTGGCATATTAGTCACACAGTTGTTGTATCAAAACCGGTTTAAAGTACAAGAACATGAATTACAAAAGGCACGGGGGGTACCAGAGACCATGGAGCCAGTGGCAACAGGACATGAACAGACAAATTCAACAGCAGTAAAAACCAGCAGTCAGTTTACTGTCACTAGTGAGGCCTTAAGAGATTTTGGTTATTCATAACATTACTCTAAATAAGGATACGTGGTAGTTTGAGCCCCAAAATCTGCTGGTTAATGTGCAGTGCATACAATATCAGCAAGGGTTGAGAAGGTTCTAGCATCATTTCCCTTTTTTAAACATAAAAGCTACTTTCATTTGTATTTATTTGTATTATCGGAACTCCTGCTTTAACTTTGTTTGTTTTGCCTGTTTTGCAGATGCAATTTCTATTTCAGTTTTTTAGAAAAAAAGATGGAACACACGAGAGTGACGAAAAAGAAGCAAAAAATAACAATTGTTCAAATAAAAGGAATAAATGTTAAAGATTAATTTAGAAATTGAGGGTAGGCCTGTTACTGGAATTAAATAACTGACTCCATCATTAAGAAAAATTATTTTAGATAGAAATTCTTTCTGATGTTTTTTAATGAAAGCCCTCAAAAGGTTTTTTTGCCGTCTCTCTGCTGCCTCAGGCTGCACGCTGAGCAGCAACACATACACAGCTGGAACGTCTGGAGGCTCTCATTGGAAAAGGCAGTGAAGCTTTTTTGGTACCACTTTCTAATAACGAGCCTGTTATAAAGGACTTTTGAATTTAAACGCATGTCTATATCAATGGCTATCAAATCGTTCACCAATGCTTTATAGATCAGTTATTGGGTTGGCAGAAATCCCATTGGCTCGTGTTTATCCTTTCTATTCTGTAAAAAATTGGGTTTTCACTTTCTAATTAGCAAGTCTGAGTTATAAATGTAAACAAACCTTTAATAAAGGGCTTTAATTAGCAAGTCTGCAACATGTTACTAAATGGATTTTGGTCCATCTCGTCTGCAGCCCTTTTCCAGAATTAACTCAAAGCACAACCTGGCAACACAAATATTGTTTATTAAAAGACTTATTACTGATCTAGAAAGTATTACTAAATGATTTATTAGCCTTTAATTAATTAACTAAAACCCGGCTGCCTGATCAGACAGTGGTACCTTTCACATCATGGCGGGTTGGTCAGACATGAGCTCTGTGTCTGGTAGATTGTGTAGCTTAGTCTGCTGTGCATGCTAATGCTGACAGTATGAGAAGTAAAGGTCATCACTTTTAATGACCTGTCTGCAGCTGCCAGACGTGTTTGGTGGGCAAATGAGACACATGTGAACTGTGTCAAAAAGAAACAACGTAAATGGTAAAAAGCAAACTGCAAGTTGTTTGAGCTCCTATTTAATGGGATTCACTCATCATAAAAGTGGGGTGTTGGTTTTCATTAGATATAATCTAAAGGTAAGTGACTCAAACCTACGCTGATTTGGATTACTTAATGTACGACTCGATCACTTATTATTATTTTATTTTTATACTTTGACTAATGATCTCTGATTATTGAGCATACTGTACATCAAAGCATTAGCATGCTCAGTGGACACAGCTCTTAACCACAGACACAAACATGATGCTGTTCATCCTCTCACCACAAATGAGTCAATGTGCATGTATGTGTGTGTGCTTGTGTGTGTCTACATGAGGGACTCCAGACTCTCAGCGATGTTAGTCTGTCCCAGTGGTACAGATCCGTTAGTTTCTGGACTCTGCAGGGCTCTCTGGTCCTCCTGGCTGCTAACCAGACTCAGCACAGCTCGGTACAGATACTGGTACTGCTCCTGTAGGGGCAAAACACAGCTTCAACACTGAACCATGTTTTATTATAAAATAATACCTTATTTTTTAAAATAAATTATGATTATGATGATTATGATGTCTAAAGTGCAGTTGTTCAC